CTCCATCTCATGTCATACACCTTCATCAATATAAATTATCACAATGTATACACTCACAGGACACTAGCAACCAAAGCGAACCAATATGGGGGAGGGGTAATATAATGGATGAATTAAACTTTAATAAAAATGGAAGTTTCAGTGACTAACGTGGAGGGAGGTGAATAAAATTCCAGCAACCAAAGTGAACCAATGTGATTGGATTATTTACAATGGATTTAGCATACCATCAAAGCCATGCCCACCATAAATTATTACAACATAAAAAAATCGCTTCCACAACCACACAAATGGCAAGCAAAATTCTAACAAACCCACATTCAACATCTACATAATAAAAGAAAAGCCGCTGGTGACTTAGTAAAGATGAGCGTCGAGTGAGCTTGAGCTCGTTTGCAGCCGAAGAACTTCAAGCATGTGCCGACCGAAGGTTGCTTTCTCCCTTCTGGGACTCGAAATGGGTGGAGATGGAAGTTAACAATTTTGGAAAAAAAAATGGGTGGAAATGGAGATTTCAATTGAGCCGGCTGAAGGAAATTTTCTCCCTTTCGTTGAAATTTCAATTGAACCGATCGGAGGAAATTTTCTCCCTTTCGTTTGTATAGTTTGGGGAAAGTGGGTGGAGAGAGAGAGAGCTTTGTTTTATGAATTAATCAATTTCCCTCCATTTTGCATTTGGTGGCTTTATTCACTTTTTAATAAATTAAATAATGTACAGTGACCATTTTTCAAATCCCTGTATCCATTCTGTCAATAACCCTATCCACCTAGCATAATTGATCCTGTTATCTTCACATAAATTCAAAAAATTTCCCCACTTTTTAACCACATATTCTGAAAATATTTATTATTCAACAACAGAGGATTTATATATATAGGTGTAGTGGAAATTACACAAAATCATACATTAAAAATCCAACATTCTAAAATCAGATGACAAGTTTAATAATTCAAAAATCAGAAATTTTATTTTAATCAATATTTTTATTAACCAAAATTCGAAACCCTATTCATTTCACTTTCACAGTCTCATCTTCACTCTCCCTCTCTTCCAGTGAGTCTTCTACCATCACTCTCCATCTTTTCCCTTTCTTCCATTCCGTCGGCTCGTCGCTCGCCAGAGACCTACCCATGCCACTTCAAATGATGACACCGCGCCGTCGCCACCATGTAGGTAGCACCGCATAACGCAGCGCAGCGTCCCACATCTCCTACCAATGATCATGATTTACGGTGATGAAATGACACCGCGGAGCTGATCCACCACTCTGGCGACTTGCTTTGTGAAGAAGCCGTGAATTAGTGTGTGCCACATGCTCCGGCAACACCGCCGCTGCAGATCTGCCATTTCTTGTCGTCCCCATGGGCTGAGAATGAGTGTGATTACTATCGAATCTAATCTTTTTGTTGCTTCTACTTTCAATGTGGTTGATTTGGGTGTTGTTAGTGTGTTGGTGGCAACGGTCGTGGTGGTTTCTGGCGACGGTGTAGGTTGTTGATTTCGGAGTTTGTGTGGGTAATGCTGGTGTTGTTACTGTGACGGTGATTTTGCATTGATGTGGGGTGGTTTGGTTATTGTGACGGTGATTTTGGGTTGATGTGGTGTGTGGTGGTGGTTTTGCAGTTTGTTGACACGACGGTGGTCGTGGCGGGAGGTGGTTGGGGTAGGTGGGATGGAACATGGAGGTGTTTGTGACCAAATAAATTGGTTAATTTGTATTATATGAATAATACGTGACCTAAAAAATGTAATTGTAACTCATAATTTATTGAGTTAGTGACTATAAAATTAATTGTAACTAGTTATTTTGAAAATTTGTGACTGATAAATGAATTGTAATCAATAAAAATTTTAATTTTGTGACCAATCAATGAATCGTGACCCATGAAATTTTTGATGGCAGAGGTAACGTTGGATATGGTGGTGTTGTGGTTCTGATGGTGGCGGTGGTGGTGGACATTGTGGGTGAGATGGCGACGATGGTTATGGTGATATGTTGGTGGCGTTGGTCTATTGAGGTGGTGGTGGATATGGCACAACGATTTGTTGATTTGAGGTGGTGATGTTGTCGTCGAGAGATGGCGGTGGTGGTAGTTACGACAGCGACGAAAGCGGTGGAGGTGGGCTATTGCAAGAAATAGCTAGGTGGTGGTCACATGTGTTGTGACCAACTAATAAGTTGAATATGGTCAATAATTGGTTAATTTGTAATAAATAAATAATACGTGACCTCAAAATTGTGTTTGTGACTTATAATTTATTGAGTTGTGATTGAGAGATTAATCTGTGACTTATAAAAATTTTGATTCGTGATCGAAAAATAATATGTGACCAAAAAATAAGCTGTGACCAATAATATGATAAGTCGTGACTAAAAATTAATCCGTGATTAATTATTTTTTGATTTGTGACCAATAAACAAACCGTGACTAACAAAATTTTTGAATTATGATTGTAAAAAAATTTGCGACATAAATTTTTTGATTTGTGATCAAAAAATAATAAATAATTAATTAAATTGTTAATTTGTGACCAAATTGTATAAATTCGTGACCTAAATATATTTAATTAATAAAATAATTAATTAACTAATTAAATCATAAATAAATTTTAATAAAAATCTGATTTTTGAAGTTTGAAACTTATTTTCTTAATTTTGAATTGCGTGATACTTAAATTCTTACTTATGAAATTTTCCCATAGATGTATGTATAGGTATTGTGGGCCACTTTACCAACGTTAAAATCACGCTTTCCAACTTGCTCCCGTGGTTTTACTACAGTATACCATCGTTAAGAAACTTAGTGGGCGGTTTAATGGCGTGCACGAATGCCATATGTCCCATTAACTCCAAAAATCCTCTGAGTGTAGCGACCGCAAAGGATCTTGATTTAAGGTTTGTTCGACAATGTTTTTTAACAAAAATTTTAATAAATTTCAATAAAATATGTAGCTAAAAAATTAAGAATCTATTAAAATCTGTGATTCAAATTAATTGTAACGTGTATAATTCGACATTCTATTATTTAGAAGTATATGTTAGATCTAATGAGCAAGGAATACACCATTGACTTTTATACCAAGTTAGCAACATTTTAAGCTATGCTAAAGCCCTATTTGGACTCCATTATTCAAAAAATGCATTTTTCTCTTTTATTTTCAATCGCACATTTTTTAATAAAATAATATTACATATGCATTCAAAAAATTTCCTTATTTTTAACCACATATTTTTCAAAAAATTACTATTCCAAAATACATTTTTCGTAAAATACAATTTTAATGGAGCCCTAAAGGGCTAAACAAGCACTTAAAAACAATGTCGATTCTTAAGTAATTAAGAGCACCTTAGTTTTGATTTTGAAGTTCAACTTATCTCCAGTTAATATGTTAATGATGCTTAGCCTTTGTGTTCAGATTTTTCTTTTTTTTTTTCTTTTTTTTTTTTGGCTAAAAATTTCATTTTCAAAGTTAAACATCAATTTTAATCACATATTTCGTAAAACTCACACGAACTATCCACTTATCCACCGTTCATTCTACCAACTTATAAATTTAGCAAGAAAAAATGTCCCAAAAAAGGCTTAGTACCATAATTTCCCTATGGAAACATTGATAACACATCAAAATCCATAAATATCGTTTTTGGAAACTTTTCCCGAGTTAATTATATGAAGGTCACTGAACTTTGTATTATGTTACTACTTAGTCACTGAACTTAAAAATGTAACTCAATGATCACTAAATTTCGTCAAGTATTACTAATTCATAACCCAACTTTAAAATATATCTCAATGGTCACCGAACTTTGCACCGTGTTACTCATCTATTACTCAAATAGAAAAATCCGTTAAGTCCAACAAATAACGTCAACTTGAGTGACGGATGGGTAACACGGTGCAAAATTCGGTGACCATTGACATACATTTTAAAGTTCAGTTATGAATTAATAACACTTGGCAAAGTTCAGTGACTACTCAATTATATTTTTAAGTTCAGTGACTAGGTAGTAACATAGGGCAAATTTCAGTGACCATTAAGATATATTTTTAAATTGAATTATTAAGCCCTTGTTTGAGTCTCATTCTTTCCAATAAAAAAATATATTTTTAAATAGTGATTTAATATCATTCAATCACACATTTTTCAATAAAATAATATTACATACAAATTCAAAAAATTTCCTTATTTTTCAACTACAAATTTTTCATCAATATATTATTCAAAAATTTATTTTTTAACCCTCAAAATGAGGATCAAACAAGGGCTAAACTTCTCAAATTGACCTCTATAAAAGAAGAAATCAAAGAAAATGAAGGGAAAAAAGAAGAAACAGAAAATTAGAAACCTGTAAATTAAATAAAAATAGAATTGTTGCTAATTTTCATCCATCATGATGAAAAAGTACGTTTGATTTTTAGATCAACTAGTATGAATTCACCGTATCTCAAATTCCGCATAAATAGATTAAAAAAGAAACAGATAGAACACTAAAAGAAATTGACAAAGAAAAATTAAATAAAAGTACAAAATGTTCGAATAGTGTTAATGTAACTGAGGTCGATTTGACTTTTCAACTATGTTACTACTTAGTCATTGAACTTAAAAATGTAACTCAATGGTCATCGAACTTCGATTGTTACTACTTCATAACCGAATTTTAAAATGAATCTCAATGCTCACCGAACTTTGCACCGTGTTACCTATCTGTCACTCAAGTTGACGCCGTTTGTTGGAGTTAATGAATTTTTTCATTTGAGTGACGAATGGATAATACGGTACAAAGTTCGATGACCATTGAGATATATTTTAAAGTTCAATTATGAAGTAATAACACTTGACGAAATTCGATGACCATTGAGTTGCATTTTTAAGTTCAGTGACTATATAGTAACATAGGGCAAAGTTTAGTGACCATTCATATAATTAACCCAACTTTTCCCCTCCTTCTCACACAGAACAGGCGTTGTAGAAGACAACCTTGTCCACAGAAAAAGAAAAAATAATAAAAATAAAACTTTATTCAGTAATATATGAAACAAATTACATGAATGGGAAGCATTTGACGCGAGTTCCATGAATCGTGGGATTCTCAATGAAAAAGCAAAAATTGTCTATTCCGTCTCTGAAAAACACATTTTGGTTCGAAAAAATAGCCTCTTTGAGAGATTTATCGTCTTTACGTGAAATTGGCAATACTCTCGGGTTCTACCTAACTTGATTGTATAACTAATAAGGCATTTCACCGTCGAGGATATTCCAGTTACACATTAAACCGGAATAGCATCACATCCCCTTCTTGTACGACATAGTCTTTTCCCTCCGATCTCAACTGCACGCAAGTCAAATCATGTGAATCGCTTCATTGCAGTTATCAGAAAGCAAAGCAACAGAACACTTCAAAAAGAATAAGAAAAGTGTCAGCCTGAGTATCCAGACCTTTGTCCCTAGCATTTTCCCTAGAAAATCTCATTTAGTCCCCGTGTGATTCCCATTTTTCCTTCATTAAAATGAAAAATATGACCGTTATCCATCATATCAAGCCACCAAATTTGAATTTCTATCTCTCGTGTGAAGCCCATAACGACCATATTTTTCATTCTCATTTTTACATTAATGCGTAACAAACGGGACCTTAATTTAGAGCAGAAAATATCTAGGCTTATAAAGTAGGTGGTCCTGGTAAAGATTGCAGTGAACAAACATAATATGAACAATAAAAATGGGGAAGGTACCCCAGGGGAGTGACAAAATTATTAACAAGATGAGAAAAATTAAAGAAATAAACATACAAAGTATGTTGAGATCTCCAAAATACTTCACTATCAGTCAGGAGAGGAGTATGCTGGATGCCTAAACAAATTAATAGCTTTAAGAGATTCGAAGATTGCATAATAGTCGAGAAAAAAATTAATATTGCTGTTTGTTGTAGTAGAAAATGGGGGTCGGCTAACAAACCTAATGCAGACACTCAAAGCCAAGAGATCAATAATGAAAAACAAGAAAACAACTTACAAGTCCCTTCTCCCTCGCAGCAGCAAATGAACGAGCAGCAACAAAATGATCATAAGCAACCTGACAAAAACATATGGATTGAAACATGTCCATTATACCCGTAAGTTTTCAGGAAAATTATTGCTAATATGGAAACATGCAGCAACTAGAAAGAAAGACATTCAAATGAAAAACATTCTTTCTGGATAATTCCAATGGAAGTCCTCAGAAGTGAATAAACCTCTTCAATCTTATTTGGAAAAAAGTAAAAAATAAAAAACTTCCATTTGATTTATATTTGAATTTTGATTGGCTCAAATTTCAAAGATTTTCACTTCTTGGACGAAAATAATGAGAATCTACTGTCTTGTACATTTTAAATCAAAATAATTATTTCTTTCAGGGCGTCACTAAATCTGACGGGTGAAAAGCGTGAACATGTCTATATTTGTTGAAACTGCATTAAAGGAGTTTAATCAACTATCTACATGTTAAAGCTCCTTTCTTCACAAAACTGGATAATTAGAAAATTGTTGAGAGACATTCAGTATTTTTAATAGTAATGAGCACCGTCTCTGCTCGAATGAAGCCCCTCTCAAAATCAGAGTGTATAACCCCAGCCGCTTGAGGTGCAGTCATTCCTACAGACATTAAAGATGAGTATTTTGGTTAATATGCTTAAATGTAGTAGTATTGCATGTAACATATCTGATTATCATATAATCCCACAGTCAATATTTACAAGTGATAGAGCTGTACACAATATCTGCCTGACAAAAATAAAATACTATGGTATGCAAATTTAGAGTGAGTCTAGCTACGGTATCTATGAGGACAATCCACAAAGTCTGAAATATAGCAACCTGCAAGCATAATGGTGCTTACCTCCCTGTATGGTCCAGGCCTTTGTTTCCTATAAGAAGAATGAATAGAAAAGTGAATTAACTAAATGCGAGTAATTTGTAACATTTATCACTCAGAAAACGGTTCAGCATTTAGTTCACCTTCTCCCCAGAAGTAAAATATGTTCTCAGTCCCAGAAGCCCATATGTTGCCCTAATAAGATTTCCCAGTCCACTTTCATCAACACCAAGAGACTTCAAATATTCTATCCTTTCTTCTGGTGGAAGTTCAGTCAGTTCTGCTTCAACCTGCAGCAAACAGATTCCAAGTATAGTTGAACCGTTATAAATAACCACAAGGAAATTAACAACGGATAAATGTGCTGAGAAAAGTGAATGGAACTTCCAAACTCAATACGAAAAGTAATTTGAGTTCTTTGAAGGTAACGTGACAAGATTTATGCCACAAGGTAACAGCAGACCTGTGCTGAGACGGTTACTAGTCCAGATTGTAACTCAGAAGCAAGGTTCATAACTTCTTTGACATAAGAATTGCTTTCAGGCTCAGCTAGATCAGATTCTGCCACATTTGCTACATATATGACAGGTTTCATTGTAAGTAAACACAGATGCTTTACAGCATCCTTTTGAAAATCCGTTAAAGATACAGATCGTGCTGGTTTTCCATCCATCAGTGCCTGTTGGATATTTTCCAGTGCAGACTTCTCTGCTTCTTCCTGTAATCAAGCATATTCCAACATAAATTCCCAAAATTAATCCTCACTTTTTTTTTGTTAAAAACTAATAAATGCTGAAAAGAATGAAAACTGTAGGAGGAGCAAGAGTAGTTCCACCTTCATTTTGGATTGTGAATCTTTAGCTTTGCCTTTCTTCAGTTTCTCCATTCTCTTCTCAACCTGCATTCTTGAAGAGGCCACAACTCAGTTCAATCAGTTCATCTTGTCCTATAGTCTACAGCCAAGATAGGTTTGTAGAAAAAAGAAAGAAAATTAGATAAAGCAAGGAGAGGAAATGGCAAGTCTTCAGAAAGTCATGGTCATGATTCTACACGGTGTATCATTTGGTCTCTATCATTTGATAATTTCAGATTACCCAGTAGGGCAATTCAAAGGGCAGAAATTTCGAATTCAGTTACGTTCTTGACTCTTGAGGAACTTAATGTTCTTTTGAGTATTTTCCATCAGTTTATCTTATTGTTCATGTATGTGATTAGGCATGTCAATGGGCCAACCCGTGCCGGCTCGACCTGTGATACTCAGGCCCTATCAATTGCTGAGCCAAGATATGACCCTTGAAATGGCCCTCTTTCCAAAGGATCCAGCCCTTAGGCTCTATCAATAATGGGCCCCTATATAATTCTTGTTTTTCAAAATCAGATTTTTCAAAAATAATAATGTCGTGTTATACGTAAAAATATAATCACATATTATATATAAAATAATAACATAATGGGACGTAGTGCCAGCATTATAAATATGGGGCCTGGTCCAAGTCCGATTTGGGCTTTTACGAGCTGGCCAACCCAGGCCTTTGACACTTCTACAGGTGATGGCTATCTTCAGAAGTGAAAGAGCTTGCACATTCTTTCATAAACTTGATGGCCCACTATCCACTTGTTTTGCATCATCTGATGCCCTAGTGTAGCAGCGGAATAATATATTTCTAGTAGAACATTCCTAAATCATGTGCAGTCTCGAGTTACTTGATTTCTTCATAAGGAAAGCAATTCTGAACACATGTTAAAATTGATCCAAGTATTTAGGTATTGGTGTGTTATTCATGGGAAGAAGAAAAGGACTTAGTTAAGAGTAAAAGAGAAGGATCCTGAAATGTTCGACTAATTGGTATAAAAGAGTCTATAAGGGCACTAGATATGTTCCGATGTTTCAAAAGAGAATGATCAAAGTGATAGTGTTAGTCTGAATCTATGTTTACACATAAGCCATGTTTTACCAAGAGCTTTTCTCAACTCTCCAATCCATAAAAATGAGTTTAACCTGCGAATTCATTTTACAAGGCTCATGGAGTTAGAATTGGAACAGATAGAGAACTATACTTCAAACCTCTGATAGCTGAATCCCGACTCGTGAAATTTCAGACTTTACAAATTTGAATTGTAAGATATGTATATCTATTTTTATGTAATCTGGAATATTTCTACACTTAAAGAAATACCCTTTCAAGAAGGTTGGGAATAGAAAAAGAAAAATATATTGATACAATAAATCATGCACTAGTTTCCTGTATTCATTGAATTTGTGCTCAAACACAACATTGCTTCTGAAAATAATGTCAGTTGAGATGCTAGAGTCATGCTCGTTATAACTATAGTCACATGTAAAAAGATAGCTATATTTTAAACGTAACATATGAATAACCCTGCTTTCATGAGGACCGTCAATAGCCAACCTGTCAAGTCTTGAGGGAATGGCAATTGCAGTACAGAAACTTGATAACATACCTGATCTAAATCTGAGAAGACTAACTCCAAATTGATAACATCGATGTCAGATTTTGGATCAACTTTTCCATTCACATGAACAATATCATTATCTTCAAAACAGCGCACAACCTGAAGAAGATAATGATAAGTGTAGGAAGCATGGAGTAGAATGTGAATAATTGCTAAGGAAATTTTAAGGAAAAGATAAAAAATAATTTTTCTGAGCAATTTTCCAATTTCTTGCAATTTGGGCCAAACCCCCCACATTAGTTGTAGTCTTTATAGTAACATAAACTCTGATCATATTCTTCATTTGTTTTCCTTGGAGTAATTTTATTAAGCAAAAGAAAATAAAAAGAAAGAGGACAACTCATCTAGATGGCCAATTAAGCGAATCAAGTGGAGTTCTTGAGTCAGAATAAAGAAAAACCACATGTCTAGACAACTGCTTGTCAAAGAATGCAGCTATGAATTTGAAACTCGTCTGCAACACAAAGTTTGTACGGTGAAGTCAAAAGACAGCTCCATGGGAAGGTAATATTAGACGTATAAGACTCTTCTTATTTTGTTCGTGTTACAGTCTAAATGCATGTTTCTTCACCATCATGAAGACACAAGGCTCAATTGTGTTGTTGCAGCAGCTAAATTAGGATCCATTGAGACGAGATAGATTTGTGATGATTAAATACAAAGCCAGTTTCATTTATGGTTTTGCCAATGCCCCACCACATTCCATCCCACATTCAAGTAGGAAGTCCATAAATAAAGGCAACAGAGAAACAATGAAAGGAAACGCCTCTACATTTTGCAGCTCTTTATAGTTCTTGATAAATCCAACAAATTTAGAGACAAATCCTAATAAGATTAAGAAGGCCAGTACCTGAAGTATGGAGTCTACTTCTCGAATGTGGGATAAGAATTTATTACCCAAGCCCTGAAATCGGATATTTTGGATACATAATTAGATATCTTAATCTTCAATCAAATATTAGACCAAATCAACTGCTAAAAGCAACAAATCAGAGGAAAATGCAGAAGTGATATTTGATTAGCTAGACAAAGTTCAGCCACGAAGACATGTGAGAGCAATTCACCTCCCCTTGATTAGCTCCTTTTACAAGCCCTGCAATGTCAACAAACTCTATGGATGCCGGGACTGCTCGCTGTGATTTACTGAGCTCAGAAAGTACATGAAGACGAGGATCAGGAACAGATACAATTCCTACATTCGGTTCAATTGTACAGAAAGGAAAATTTGCAGCTTGAGCTTTTCCGTTCTCAACCTGTAAGAAAAATACAATTAGATCTGAAAAAATATAAAAGCTTGAGAGAATGTAGCCATTCTTGCAGGTAAGAATAAAAAGCATCAAACAAAAACTTTTCTTTAAGCTTGAGAGGAATATTATTTTCTAATGCGATATTTTAGGCATAGATAGTAGAAGCAGCAAAAATAAATAGTATAACAGACACAAGGATAACAATGCTGTAATAGCAGCATACATTTGATAATTGCCAGCAAATCTATAGATGCTGCACCTAAAAATAGAAGATAGTTCAGGAACATTTCTGCAGTTATTTCTTATTACCTAATAAACAAAATTCTCGTTATCCTATAATTACTCGTACAGACAAACAATATAATTAACTCAACTAAAAAGAAAAAAGTAAGTATTTTAGAGAATTCAAACTTTATATACAAAATATCTCAGCACAATTAACCAAAAAAAAAAACACTTCCAGCTAAAAGTTACTCCTAAATGAACAAGCACGAAAAGGAAAGAATAGTTAATTCAATTGATCGAGAATCAGAAAAGACATACGACGGCATTAAATAGAGTGGATTTTCCAACGTTGGGGAGGCCAACAATGCCGGCTTTCAAGCTCATGCTTATTTTCGCTGACGAAAATCGCCTGTTCATGGAAAGCATCGAATGCGAAGAATTTGAAAGATTTGGCCATTGGAAGAGGAGTGAAGGCTTCAATGGTAGTGATGTAATTGAAGGAATGAGATTTGAGCATACTATTCTAGCCATTAATGGTGAGAAATGGGGCTGAGAGCGTGCAGAATTTGATTATAATGTGGTGGCTCCTAATTCTTAGCGGCGGCAGATGATATATGTTGGCATTCTTCAAGTTTTAATTTTATTAATAATTTATAATTTTATTAATATTACTCGATAAAATTAAAAATTAATACTCAGTCCCCCGTTTGGTATATGTCGTGCTACATGTATATAATAAATTTACTTAATATTTTATATACACGTGATGTAGTGAGATAGATATCATAGAATTAAGTTTTTTTTCAACCAATTGAAAAAACACTCTCTTCGATAAATCATCTCAGTGTAAATCATTACGTAATTGCTCACATGCGAGTAACATTATTCGTTTGGTATTGATTAAAATAAAGATTTTAATCCTAAATCAAAGTCAACAATTAAGCTTCTATTTGAGAACCATTATTTGAAAATTCCTTTTTTTTTTTCCACATATAAGAACACATTTACACAATAAGATATTATACATAAACCTAAAAATTTTCTTACTTTTTAACCAAACATTCTCCTAAAAATCATTATTTAAAACATTATTTTTCCCAAATAATGATCATCAAACAACGATAATTTTAACCACACATTTGATCGATTTTTATCAAAATCTACTTAAAATCTTATTTTAATCCTATTCAAACAGGCTTATATTCTCAATTTTTTCGATCATTTTGTTAATTTTTTAGAATTGCTAGGTTTTATCCATTCAAGAAATGGTAAACAAGTGGAGTCGAGAACCATTTTATTTGAATAATTGTACATTTTTCCTTACCACTTGGATGACATTCCTCCCTATGTAGACGAAATCTATGAGGTGGTGTGATTGATGAGTTTAAAACCAAGAGTGTAGATATTGTCATGTAGAATAGCGTAAAGAAAAGTATATGTGAGATTGTACACGTAGCATGATTGATTTTATTTTCATGCACTGGCTCGTGAGTAATGTGTTTTATTTTGAATTATCTATTTGTTTTAGTGGAAATTATATGAGTCCAGGCCTTTTCAAGTATACAGTGCAAACATCAGGAGGCAATGTGTTTTAAGCATAAATCAGGTATTGATTTGACTACTAATATTAATAATATTAATGTAAAACATATCAATCTAATTTCATCCCAATCCAATTCCAAACCCTACAATACAAATTCATTTCACTTTATCTTGTCTCCCCGCTCTCTCCACTTTACCCATCCTCCGGCGCCGTCGTGCACTGTCATAGACCACCGCCAAATTCACAGCGATGATCATTCATCGGCTCTCCCTAATTTATTTTATCCCCACTCCTCTCGCTCTTCTCTCTCCCCCTTCCATCTCTCTATTCTACAAATGATGGCGCAACAGTGGGAGTAGTGGTGATGCTGGTGGTGGTGCAAGTGGTAATGGTGGTACGCTTTTTTATTGTTGGAGTGGTGGTGGTCGTTGTGTTTGGTGGTGTTGTTGGGGATTTGGGTGGTTCTTGTTGGTAGTGGAACTAGTGGCGAGGTGGTGTTTCGGCAGTGAGGTGGTGGTCGGCAATTGTGTGGTGGTGTGGTACAGACGACGATTGTGTGGTGGTGGTCTTTTTTTTTTGTTGGCGGTGTTATGGCGGGGGACGAGGTGGAATAGTGTTTGTGACTAACTATTTGATTGATTTATGATCAAGTATTGGTGGTGGATCGGGATGGAGCTAGGGTGTTTGGTACACGTGACAAATAATTTGGTTCTTTGTGACCAATTGCGACCTTAAAATTCGTTAATTTGTAACCAACAAATTTGAAAATATGTGATCGATAAAAAAATTGACTTATAATTTTTTTGATTTGTGACCTATAAAATTTTTAATTTGTAACTTTAAAATAATATGCGACCTATAAAATTTTTGATTTGTGACCTTGAAATATTTTGTGACTAATTAATTTGATAATATGTAACTAACAAATAAATTGTGACCTATAATTCTGTATTTGTGACCGTTAATTGTATAGTTGTGATTTTTATTATATTTAGTTAATCATATATTTACCTTAATTTTGAATTTTCAAACACACACATCACTTTTGAATTGGTATAAATTATATACCCGATTTATAATTTTTTTCCTTTGTTTTATTTTCATGCATGGGCTCATGTGGGCAAAATGGCTAAAGCTATGGATATGAGTTGAGCCAAGTCGAGATTAAGAAAATATGCGATTTTATTTCATTTTTATCTTTATTTTTATTTTTAATTTAATTTTATTAAAATTAAGTGAACAATAGTCTTTTTGATAAAATAAATAAATTGACTTTTCAAAAAAAAAAAAAACCTTTTTTTAAAGATGGTCATGCTAAGAATGGAAGATTAGGTTCTGGTTTTGTACTTGTACATTAAATTGGGGACTATTTGCGAAAATTAGCCTAATGTTTCGAGCTAATTGTTTCATTGGCCACTGTACTTTGCCCATTGTCACGGCTTACCTACTGAACTCTACAATGCTTCCCAATAGCCATTGAACCTATCTCCGTTTCACCCAAATGGCCATCGGATGGATTCCGTCCGTCAAAGTGTTCATGTGGAAGACGTTAGGCTTAGTTGTCTGTTAAAATGCCAAATCTTTACTTTTTATTTCATCTCATTATAAGGTTGAAAGTCATGATTTTTATTTAACAACTAACTAAAGTACAAAAATAATCATAGAATCATGTCAAACCATTTTAGTACTTGTTAGTCTACATCGAATGCAACCTTTGTACCATGACCTTTCAGTCACAAGGCAATAGCAACATTTTGTAATTATGTGGAGGTATAGTGCTGTGGAGAAAGAACATCAATGGCAATTAAAAAACTATGAACGACTAATCCATCAATATTAGAAAAGTACTACTTGTTCGTTACCCACTAAATTGCTATATTTGTCCACGGGTTCTAATTCTACTCCGAACCATCCGTGTTACATGAGAAATCAATAAGAAGACAATTACATCATTTGCACGTGACAATGAAAAACAAAAAAGTTCTACCCACATCGACGTCAGGTACATCTGATCTATCCTGATACCGTTTATTGTGACCGCGTGCTCCCCATGTTAAACATGTCATTTTCACTCAACCCTTTCTTCGAACGTAAGATTTTCCCTGCGAATGCACTACCACATCTTCATCCGCCACTTTTTTCTTGTTTATCTGCCGCGTTCCCTTTCGAGGGACAGTCCACGTAGAGGGAATCATGTCCATGACTTCTACAAGTGGCCATAATCTCATCCCGTTAATGGGATTCAAGATGTTGTCATAGCATCTCATATATGTCTCGACTGTGTAGCAGTTGTCAACGTAATCTTCTGGATCATTCCTACACTCTCTTATGACAGAATTGCGTGTATGCAAGGAATCCCAGTCAGTTCCCACTCTCTACAGTGCATGTTTGTTCCTGTAGATCGATGACATGTTTCGAAGTTGCAATCAACCTGCTATTTAGGCCACCAGATAAGTGCAATGTTGCAATGTGCATTCTCGGGACTTATCCCCATTCTTGTGAAGTTTTCTCTTGATCTTAGGGCATAAACGACCCATGCATCTCATCATGGTGTCTCGACGCTTACAGATCTGATTCATGAAGCTTAATTGCATAGAAGTAAGCATTGTAATAATCATCTTCTCCCTATCACTTCGCAATGTCTTGTTGAACACCTCGCAAAGATTATTTAAAAGGATGTCGCTTTTGGCATGAACGGAGAAATGCAACCTACTCCATTCTCACAGAGGCCATTCCATCAACCATTTGTACCCATCTTCGTTGAGCTTCCTAATTTGCTACATCCAGTGTCGATAGTCAACGACAGTTACTGATTTCGCTGCACGCCATAGGTAATTTTTTAGAATTTTTCCCTTATAACCTTGGTTGAAGAAGTTTGTATACATATGTCGTACACAGAATTTGTGTTTAGCCTCGGGAAACAACTCCTCTGTCATGTTTTGTAAACCCTTATGTCTGTCCGTCATCAATGTCCAACCTCTACCATTGTCAATCCCAATATCATCAGCAAGATACTTCATGAACCATCTCCAAGTGCTTATGTTCTCTCTTTCAACAACAGCATGTGCAATCGGATATATACAGGCGTTAGCATCAAGCCCAACTGCAGTTAACAATATTCTTCCAAAACAACCCCGTAGGTGATAACCGCCTACTCCAACCAACTTCCGACAACCATACCTAAATCCTGTCTTACAACAACTGAAACAAATGTGGATCCCTTGGAACACCTGTTGCTGCAATGCGATAATCACTGTTAACCCAACATTCGTGCATAGTACCTCAGCTGTGTAAGACCTCAGAAGCCTAAACTGCTCTTCTATAGTCCCAACCAAAAGCTCTTTAGCATATTTTCTCATCGTTCATGCCACATTTCGACTAATATTCGTATGCAAATCATTTTTTACCATCGCTAGAATAAGTTCTATCCTCCAATTAGGCTCCACCTTGAATTGTTTAATGTAACGTTTTGTTAAAAAAAATGTAATTGCAATGTCTGTTAAATTGATCCTGACAACATGTATGCTCCAACGTGTAAGATTTCACTTGTAGTCGCTCAAAAGCATCAACTGCATATGCCCATATCCTCTATGTACAGCCTATTTTGCAAGCCCCTTGTACTCTTCTATCCTCATTCACCTTAAACTCCACGTTATATCTATTGATGGCACCATATGTTCTCACTGCTGCTCGAAACTCAACTGCGGAACTAAATAATTGTCCCACCTCAAAATGTGGATTCTTTATTCCTGAGTTGAAAGAAAATTCTGGAAATCGATAACCACTATCTTCATCGAAAGAGCATTGGGACAATAGCTCCTCCGACGATGGATATTCTAAATCATCAACTTCAATGTCATTACCCTCGATCGGTTCGTCCTCCACTCCCCTTTCGCATCCACTCAACCCCACTTCAATCCCATCTATTACATTGCTATCATATAACATGTCGTCTTGATCAGATACAACATCGTTATCAGAATCTACAAAATTCGGGTCCTCGTCATTACCTGTCACATAATGAAAACAAAAATGTGTGAACTGGTTTTTCTGTTCAAC